TTTGATTAAGATTTCACTTTAATTCCAACAGTTGCATTGATACATTGATAGATCCAAGTTTAAGGGACTTACAAGTGGTATCAGAGCCTTAAACCCGACTTAAGGTCATTTTGGTATCAATTGCTTTCGAAACATTAATTCATTTGTGGTGTTTTTGGGGTGTGTTAACAAGAAAAAGGAGTTGCTGTTCTTCGTGTTCATCATTTTCTTAGTGTTCTTCACTAATTTTGGAGAATATTGCGTTGGAAATCGTTTTTTGTAATTTACCAAAATTTGGAATTCATCAAAAGTTTTCAACATCGTTATGCTAAAGAGGAAGTTGCCAAATTAACTGCCGAACTTGATGCATTAAAAGCTAAAGTTAAAGATGCTGATTTTAATTTTAAGAAATTCGATGTATCAAGTGAGATAGTTGAGTCTATGATTGAAAAACAGTTAAAGTGGAAGAGTAACCAGAAAGAGGGTCTAGGGTATCACAGTGTACCACCTCCTTTCAATGATAACTATACTCCAGTTTCTGAAACCATTGAGACTGAAAAATCTGTTCAACATGGTCAGCCTGATGTAACTGTTTCAGTTAAGACTAAAAATCCGGCAAAACAGAGAATATTAATGTGAACGATACTAATATTTCTACTTCATGTGCAGATAAAGTAACAATGCAAGTTGGGTACAACCAGAACAAAAATATTTCTAGTTTGCAGAAAATGCTTCAAAAACTTGTGATGATAGTAATCCCACTCTTGAAAAATTCAAGCCACAAAAATCTGTTAAACAGTCTAATAAATGTGCTTGTGCTTGTGGAAGTTCTTTGAAACAAACTTCATTTGGACAAGGACCAAGTCACAATCTTATTTCTTTGAAAAGACAAACTTGTTTTAACTGTGGGACTCCCGGTCACATTGCTAGAAGTTGACCACATCACTCATATATTCCCTACTATAAACAAGGTTGGGAGAACGTGCCAAAAGCAAGATCTTCCACAAAGAAATCCTTCAAGGTCACATTCAAGCAATGGTGATTAGAAGGCTGAGAAGTCCAAAAATTAGATTCTCAAGAACAAAAATGTTATGTCTGACAAGAGATCTGATTTGAGAATTAAGTCAGTCAATCCAAGATCGGTAAGGTTGAAGTCATCTCGGCGATCGATCTCAAGCTCCAAAGCAAGTACGGAATCATCCATTCGATTAAACAAGAAAATGGTTAAACCTGACTACAGATGGGTAGTTAAGGTTTCAACTCCCAAATAATCTGAAAATTCTAACATCTCTTCATTTTCTGTGTTTGATAAACAAGATATGACTTGGGAACGCGTATCATGCATATACAGCAAAGGTCAAACCAGTTTCAAAATGGACTGGGTTCCCAAAATCAATTAATCTCGCACTCTGTGTCGGAGCAACTATGGAGGAATATCATCGGACTTCGGTATGTTGATAGTGGCTGTTCCAGACACATGATAGGAGACATCACTTTTATGTATAACATTCAGAATTTGTATGGAGAGCATGTGTCCTTTGCGGGAATGGAAAATAAAAGATTATAAATGAGGATTTCTTCAATTGCTGAATTACGGTTTGAATTTTCTGACTCTTCTACTCTCTGTGATAATAATGCAGATTTTCAATCGTTCAAAAACCTATTTTTTTAAAACAAAGCTTGTGCTTGTGGGATTTCTTAAGATGATACGTTTCGAATACTGAAATTTCTTTTATTTTTATTTAGTATTTCTTATTTTTCTTCCATTTTTTTTTGTTTTAAAAAAAGAAATTTGTGATAGTCTTTTGGGAAGTAATATGAGTTAGTGATAAAGGGCAAACGAAATACGTGTAAAGCACTAAAGTTGAATTGTCTAAACTCTGGGTTCAATGTGTTGGTAGGCATAAAGGAGGAAGGCTAATGGACTAGACAATTTTGATTCATTTGAACTTAGAAAACCTCATTTGGACTAACAACATGACGCTTGTATAGATTTAACAGTAAAATAGACAATGAGGCTATAACTTAAATTGAAGCTAACTATCATCTAGATCTGTGGCTCAACACTTCATTGGCGTATGTACTTGTGTCCTTAATTCTTGTATTGACAGGGGGTGACTAAGGGGTTCTGATAAATTGGGTCTGTTTAAAATCTTTATTCTTTCTTTCTTAGTCAGCCACATGTTTTCCCCTCTACGTGATCAGAAGATCCGACCTGGGACACAACAGGTGCACATAGATATGTATTCTCACTCTCACTTAGTCAGTCATATGATGTCCCCTCTACATGATTGGAAGATCCTACCTGGGACACAACATATGCACTCAGATGATGTTCACTGCTTTTAAGTTAGTATATTGTCTCCTACACGTATCCTACTCTCTACGATTAGTCATATGTTGTCCCCTTTGCATGATCGGTAGATCCGCCCTGGGACACAACATATGCATTCCAGAGTGATTACAAACTCACCTAAAGTAAAGGATTCCGAAGAAATTTCCTTGATTACTATGCCAAGAAGTGGGGAACATGTTCCAGTGTACTAACATTAACTGCACCCATAACTAAAGGCCGACTGGTAGATTTTACTGGCTAAATTTAAGTGGACAACAATATCCCTGGTCGTCGTCAGTCAAAATGGTCTATCTAGGAATTCAGTAGCTATATATCGTCACTCATGATCAAGAGTAAATTACATGATTGGATCACAATATCAAGAGTAAATATATCGTCACTCATAATTTCAGTAGTCAAAATGGTCTATCTAGGAATTCAGTAGCTATATATCGTCACTCATAATTCCTGAAAAAATGTCCTTTGTGTTTAAGTGGATCACAATATCAAGAGTAAATTACATGATTGGTCCCTATGGTTTGGGGTAATTTGCGTGCTTGGTCCCTAACTTATTTTTTTAAATCGGAAAGTCCCTATTGTTTGTTTTTGTTACTTGCTTGATCCCTATCTTACTTAAAAACACTATCATTTAAATAGGGAAAAATGGTGGGGGTATGTAAGGTAAGGTGAGGGGGGTTGGACTAGGGGTGTGTTTATTTAAATAAATTAAAAAAATCAAGGGTAAAATATTTTTTTTAGGTAAGATAGGGACCAATCATGTAACAAAAACAAACAGTAAGGACCTACCGAGTTAAAAAAATAAGTTAGGGACCAAACGCACAAATTACCCTAAACCATATGGATAATTCGTGTAATTTACTCCAATATCAATGATTAACCAGAGTTTTTCATGAAAGTGTGTGGTGATAAACCTCATTAATTTACTCCATAACGTTTGATCCCAAAAAGTTTTTATTCTGGATTATATTTTCGTTTTTATTTAAATTTGTAACTATTTTCCTTGTTATGCACAAATTTAGGGGGAGAAATAATAAAATATAAATAAATAAAAACAAAAATAATAAATAATAAAAAATAAAAAATTAATTAAGTAACAAAAAATTGTATGTTTAATTTTGCTTTAATTTTTTTATTTGGTTTTTGAAACGTAAAATCGAAAGAAATCCTTCTTATTAAAATTGGGTTAATTTTCATGGGCCGAAATCGGTTAAAGTGGGCCGTCTGGGACTTTTCGGTGATATATTTAGCTTTCGGCATGGTTAGGGTTTTTCACCGAAAAACCCCAAACAGTCATCATCATCATCGTCGTTGTTCTCTCTAACTTCTTCGAGTTTTCTGCAAAAACCCACTCATTTGTTGATTTGTTGCAAAATTGTTCGGTGAATCAGGTATTGTTTGGATTTTTGATCATGGCAATATTGTTTAAAGTTGTTTTTGGTGTACTTGGTGTCATAGATTTGCAGGTTTTCGAGTAAATTTCTCAAGGTTTTTCGAAGAACTATTTTGGAACAGGTTCCGATGAGATTTCGGGTTTTCGGTTCCACCCGGATCCAACCGAAATCAAATGAAGCCTTGACCGAGAACTGGGTTTTCGACCGAAATCAATCAGCGTTGACCGAAATCATCTGGTCAACAAGTGTTTTGACCGAAATCGAGCAGTTTTGACCGAAATCAATCTTTTTGACCGTAATCGATTGCAATCTTAACTTTAACCGAAAACGACGGAAATTTGTTTTTGACCGAAATCGACTAAAACTTTGATTTTAACCGAAATCAGATTTCAAACTCAATTTAATTATTTTTAAATTAATTTTGACTTGGTTAGTTTGGTGAAGATAAATGGCAGAGCGACTAAGATTCGTAGAATCTCACAACATTGCTGGATATCTCATGGATCCATCTGCTACTCATTAGGAATTCAAATCCATGATGGTGGGTTTGAACAATTGCAAAATTTCTGAAACCCTTCATGCTAATCCAATCATCCACAGACACCTGATCACTGAGTTCTGGAAAAATGCTTCGATCAACAAACTGGGAGCAGATGGAGCTGGTATTGTTGAATCGATGGTGAAAGGAAAACAAATAATTATTTCTTAACAAGTTATCTGATAGGTACTTGAATTTGGTGATGCTTCTGCATTTCCAATTGAGTACTCTGCGGATCAAGTTAGGGAAGTTCTGGAAAAGATGTGTTATGAAGGAACCTATCCTCCCACCATTAAGAAGCTACTGCCACCTTACTGGAGGTTCCTGGCACACTCCTTTGTAATTTCATTTCTGGAAGTAAAGGGGGTTCTGATGAGATTAGTCAGACTGTGACCTCATCCATTGTCGCTCTGTCCATGGGCTGGGATTACAACTTCTCCAAGTTCGTTTTTGAAGAGATGAAGAGCATTCTCCTGGGAAAGAAGAAGGACCTATTTTTGATGTACCCCATGTTCCTTCAAATGATCTTTAATGAAAAATATCCCCAATTTGAGAGGTCGTCTGATACTTTGGATATTAAATGGGTCCCAATACCTTTGGACTCATGAAACCACCAAGAAAGGCTGCCAAAGTCACTTATGAAGGATTGAAGGAGCTGGTTAAATTTGGAAAGTTTGCTGAAGTTGAAGACACTCCTACTATTATTTCCATAAATGTCGAGGTTGCCGAGGAACATATGGCGCCCAAACCTAAATTTCAATTTGCCTTTGAAGAGGTTGTAGTATCTGATGATGAAGACGATCAAGAGGATCAAGAAAAAGAATTGTCAGAAAATGAGTTTGAAAATTTTATTCAGCAAAGTATTTCATTCCCAGAAGAGGATGTTGCTATTACACCTCCGATTGTGACTGTGAGGGAAAGTGATACATTGGTGCAATCTTCCCCACCTACCCCTGAACATATGGATGCTCATATTGTTGAACTTCATCGAACTGAAAGGAAGCCTCCCAAAACAGTTCATGTTGATACTAAACCTCCATCTGGAAGTGATCTAGAAGACTCCGCCCACGCCTTACTCCTAAGGAAGCGTAAAAGTAGAGATCCAAGGTCGGGAGTGCTTATCACAGACCAAGTTCAAAAGGAACCTACACCGATTGAGCCTAGGTCTATGAATCAAAGCATTCAAAGCCCGTTCACTGAATCCATTTCTATGGATCAGGATTTTCAAAGGCCTATTATTGAAGAAGAAGTCATACCTACACAAGGAGATCAAGCTTTAAGAAGCTCATTTGAATCACTAGAGCTAGACATCTCAAAAGGCAAAAGCAAGTTGCCTGAATTTGAATTGGTTGATGTAGTTCTGCTTCAGAACATACTCTTTGATTTGGAACAAAGCTCTGCTGAAATGGATTTGATAATTGGAAAGCATGATACTAGAATCAGCGAGCTTGAAAAAGAGAACTCGATTAAGATTCAAAGATCTCATAACTTCAAGCAAATCTAGGTGGTCTAACTGCTTTATTCTTTGACCTGAAACAGTGCCTATTTCAAAAATTTGGTGATGAATTTCAACCTTTAAGCACTGAAGGAGAAAAGATCATTGCTTCTAGTTCTGGTCCCGCTAATCCAACTTCACAATCTTCGAGTGAAAGAGTTGCAAGACCTGCCCTAGATGCCAATCTTGAATCATTCTTATCTTCTGGTCCTACTTCTTCTCAAGAAAGGAGAGAGAAGCAAGTTAGGGTTGAGAAACTAAAAGGGAAAATGCTCGTGATGAAGCATTCAGATCAAAATGCTCTAGGTGATCACCGTGAGATGTTTTTCAGGAAAACAAGGAAGAAATTCACAGATAAATATGGGGATCGTTCTGGCATCATCATGTGGGGATATGATGCTGATAAAAAGATGTGGGTGGTCAAACGGAAAACTGGCAGAATTGAATATTATGAGAAGAAAGTTGACTTCTTGTCCTGGATAAAAGTTGATCTTTCTGAACTCATCCACGCACATTTCCATAATCCAACCAATGATACCATGGCCTGGTCTTTTAAGAACTTCCTTGAGGTTAAAGCGAAAAATAAATTTGAAGACTTAAAGACTGCTTCATCGTTTACTAAGAAGGCAAAGGGTGTCATTTATCCTCGAACAAACAAAACCATGGTGATTGTCATGTGGCCCACTACAAAGCAAGCCCAAAGGACTCATCTTCCAAAAGGCTTACCTGAAGGAACTTTGGATTCAATGCAATTCTAGGTTTTTGATGAGGCTACTGCAACTGTGGCGATCAAGCTGAAGAAAAATCAGTTTCGCATTGTTGATCCCAAAGATTTGTTAAAGTTTAGAGAATGTGATATCCGCACATTATCAAATTTTCAGATCATTGTGGAGAATGAATTCTTTGAAGCTGCTGCAAAAGCCTTCACTGGAATGGTAGCTACAATAATTGACAAGAAGCTATGGGTAAGGGATTTTGATCAAGCTGACGTGCATCTCATAGAGAAACCTTGAAAAGAACAGAAAGCAATAAACCAAGGGGGAGATTGTTGGGCTATATTTTGTGGTGTATGCTTTTTTTTGAATGTTTTATATGGCTCTAGGTTTTGGGCTTAGTGTGTTTTTGGTGGGCTTTTCATGTTTCGGCTTTAGATTATCGTTTTAGTATAGATATACTCTGTGTTTAGCAGTTTTGAGGGTTGCGCGTTTGGTGATTCATGAAAGTGAGTGTTTGAGTGTACTTGACAATTATCAATAGAATTATGTGCATTCACTTGAAACGTGTTCTTGATATATATTATTGATTGTTTCGTATCATTGTTTGATTAAGGTTCCACATTAATTCAAACAGTTGCATTGATACGTTGATAGTGTTGGATAAGGTGTATAAGTCCATAACTATTTCTGGTATGTACTTGACCCGAACTGGCATGGTCCATTTGGGTTGCATGGCACCATGCAATTGGATAAAATAAAATGAGAGAAATAACACTTATGGTTTATTAATATATTATAAGTTCTAATATATTAATAATAATTATTTAATTAGTTTGATCAAGAATTAATTTAGAATTAATTAAGTGATCAAAAGATAACTAATTAAATATATAGGTAGATTAAGTAAATCTTCCATATCTTATATAGTGGGCTAAGAGGCTCCATGGATTATCAAGTTGGGTTCCACCCATAGGATGCTCCATGGAGGCTCCATGGGAGTTACAAACCCATGGGTCATGGAAATAAAGAGTCATGCCACATTAGGGTTTACATGGTGTAACCCTAGATGTGACACACTATATAAGCAACATGTTCTCCACCAAAATCGGGACACTAAGAAACAAGAGGGCTAGAGCCGATTTTGCAAGTGTAAGATTCTCTCAAAGTTTATTCCTTTGCATTTGGTGTTGTGTGAAGCATTTGAGGCATCACACTTGGGGTGCTAGGCTCACAAGGTTTCAAGGATCATAATCAAAACAAGGTAAGTTATTCTATCTTTCATTCAAGGTAAAAATGTTCCCATGTATGCTAGATAGAATAATAACCTTGGAATTCAACTTTGCATGATTATTAGACAAACATAGATCCAGGTTATTAGGGTTGCATGTACACTTAGGAAGTGTTAGAATGCTCAAAACCCATCAGTGGTATCAGAGCCAGGTTTCGTTTTGTTTTTTTTTGTTTTTGGTTTTTTGTGTGTGCAAACAGCTTGAAAAAAACGTTTTTCTGTTTTCTGCTCGTATGAAAGTTTGCACATTTGTTGCTGGAAATGGACTAGAAACATTACCCTAAACTGTTTTGATGTTTTAAAGCTTGTTTTAGATGGTGTAATGTTTTGCTAATCCTTTATAATGGCAAGTGTAAAATTACAAGTTTTTTTTAAGTGTAATTTTTATTCTTGAAAGTGTCATATTCATGTTCTTGAACTTATGAAGATTAGATGATCATAGGAATTGTTTGTAACCTCATGGTAGTTTAATTCATGATCATAATGTGTTTTAATGGAGTCCATAACTTGTCCTCAAGTTATGGAAAACCAAAAGTCTCACTTTTATTAAAGACATTAAAAGAACACAAGAGTTAAAATGAAAAGAGTCTTCATTTTTATTACTCAATTAATTCATAAGTTATAAGAATGAAAAGTTTTGGAAGTTTACAAAACTTCCCTCAAGTTTTGGAACATGTAAAGTTTGATTAAAACTTTAGTTCCAACCCTTAGAATTTTAAAAGGTAAAATTCAAACCTTATACTTTATAATATATAAGTTACTAATATATGGATGTATAACGTCCAAGTCGTCTTACCGCTAGTACGCCTCATTCACGAAGCCGGTCTATAAGGGGGGGGGGGATAGGTTGTTGCCTATAAAAATGGCAACTAATGGGTGTCCACTCTCACCCACCGCTTCCTTGATCGGTGGAGGGTCGTTAGCCGAACGGGTAAGACAAGGACTTATAAATTCTCATTAAAAGTATGATGAATATTATAAAGTAACTAAATGCTTTTATTAAATTCCCATCTTAGTTACTTTAGGAAAATGTGAATAAGGTGCTAATCCATGAAATTACACTTACACTTTGTTTAAGTGTCGTTGGTGAAGCGTGTGTGGTTAACCGGCACACTAACTTGGACTTAACAAGGTAGGTAAAGGGTGACTTAAGGTTACCATAGCATCGGTGGAACGTGTGTGGTTTACCGGCACATCGATTGAGTGATAAACCTTGAGGGTACCAAGTGATTTGCATGGTTTACTTCACACCTCGTTTTGTGATCCTCGGTATCCCAGTCACAAAACTTGGAGGGCACACTCGAGATTGAAACATGCCTTTGAAAAGTTCATTGAATCTCAAAAGAATCTAGGAATTTCTAAGAACCAATTAAAAACCTAATATTTATATTTCGTTTTTCATGGTGGAAATTGGTGAATCGTCATTCACCTACCTTTCAAATATGTTATAGCTTGGATTACGGCATACCTCTTCTAAGTTATAATATATTGTGATTGGATCCTAGCCTTAATATTACATTTGGGTGTTTATTAAGGACTCTCTTAATATCTAAACTAATCTTGTCCTCTTCTTTCAGATGTCTTCAAACAATGCTACTTCTCTGGCTCTAATCCTAATGGCTCCTTTACCCTTATGAACTTGTGTGGGAAAGTCACTTTTGATGGATCCAACTTCAATGAATGGATCAGAAACATCAGGATGATTACCCGCTACGAGGACAAAGAATATGTCCTTGACAAGGAGCTTAAGGAGATTGATGAGACCACTGCAACTCCCCAGGAGATCGCTGACTTCCGGGCACATGAAAGGGATGTTACAAAAGTGGCATGCATCATGTTGGCCACCATGACAGCGGAACTCCAAAAGTCCTATGAGGACTTCTACCCTTTTGAAATGCACCAAGATCTGATGGAAAGATACCATCAAAGTGCACGACAAGAGAGGTATGAAATCATATGCTCTATCATAACAACCATGATGAAGGACGGGGAATCCGTCACGAGCCACATGAAAAATGCAAAGGTATGTGGATCGGTTGCTGAAGCTTAATGTGAACTTCCCTGAGGAGCTTGCAATAGATATCATTTTGCACTCCTTACCATCGTGCTATGATCAATTCCGCATGACATATCACATGAATAAGGAAGAGGTCACACTCAGCAAACTTCAGGGACTCCTCAAGACCGCAGAAACAGGTCTTAAGGGTAAGTCGGTTGTTAACACTCCTACTCCAAACTCCGCCCCGGTTTTGGCAATCGGGAAAGGTAGAGGGAAAGAAGAGGAAGAGCTCTTCGATGGGTACCAAGGCTAGGACCCTTGATGGCTCTTCTTCAAGTGGAACCAAGAAAGGTTTTGTCACTCCTTCTCTGACCCTAAAGAGGCTGAATGCTTCTATTGCCATGAAAAGTCACATTGGAAGCGGAACTGCCCAAAGTACCAGCAAGATGTGAAGGATGGGAAAGTTAAACCCAACCATGTAGGTATTTACACTATCTTATCTAATAACTCACCCCATTCTAACTCTTGGGTCCTTGATACCGGTTGTGGTGTTCATATCTGTTCTGATTTGCAGGGACTAAGAAGAAGTGAGAATGTGGAGCATGGAAGAATAAACTAATCATGGGGAATAGGAAAGCTTTACCTGTCACCAAGATTGGAGTTTATACTTTATCGCTAAGTAGTGGGTTTTAGTTTAGATTTGAATAAATGTTGTTATTCGCCAGAAAATGGCAAGAAATATATTTCCTTTCATGCATTGTATAAACAAGGTTTCACCTTTCATTTGATAATGAAGTTGGTTCGATAATGCTTTCTTTAATAATGTTCTTTATTTAAAGCATTACCTTGTGATGGGTGTATGAAACTGTATCTGTGGTTGATAACTTAGGAAATAATGTATTGTGTATTGATTCTGTTAATGATAATAACTTGGATAAAGCATCATTATGGCATTGTCGTCTTGGACATATAAGCAGAAACGCATAGGCCAACTCCAAAAGGATGG